GAAGAGAAGAGAAGAGAAGAGAAGAGAAGAGAAGAGAAGAGAAGAGAAGAGAAGAGAAGAGAAGAGAAGAGAAGATTCCACACCCATTTGCACTCTGATTCAGGTAACCCTGAAGATACAGATAAACCTCCAAGTGGCCTCAAGGGCTCTCAGAGAGAGTGCTAACAACCAGATGACTGCAAAGAAATATGATCCCTCCATTCCACCCACCCACCCAGCCACCCCCAGCATCCTGCCAGAACCAATGAAGCTCCTTGGATGAAGAGCAAAATGTCTTCAAGGAAAAAAACAAGAAAGTCCAGCTGCCCTTTGAAAAATCACCTCTGAGACAACCATGACTTGGATGATTGAGAATCTCCACAGACATTCTTAGCATAGTAGACTTCTCTAGAGAGCTACTTCCTGTGAAATTAATTTATCAAATTATGAAATGAATGAGATTGTCCATTGTGGCATGCTTATCTTATTGTTCTCAATTAATATCATCATTGTTTTCCATTAATAAGCTTGGATAAATAAGTCACTTGCTTCTCAACATACATATACAGTACTGGTAACTAGGTTGTTTATACTTAACAATTCAAAAGATTGGTCCTTCTTAGGATCCATAATAAAAATATGTAAAATATATTGCATTTAGTAGGTAGCAGGGAAAAAATACCATTATATTTCAGATGAACAACCTCATTGAGTTGTTTAAATAGTACCTTTTCCTTTTCAATAATAATTGCATTAGAGGACAGGAACAGTAAATACCAAGCTGCTTTCCATGAATCAGTTTGATATGTTGCAGCTTAGTGGAAATCAGTGGCCATAAGATATCTGATAAATGAACAAGAAAAAAAGAGAGAGAGAAGAATAAATCTGAAGAACACAGAAGTAGAAGAGTCTTATTAAGCATTGTTAATAAGGGGCATAGACCTGTATCAAAACACTTCAGCGAATCGTCTTTCTCAAACGCTTATTCTGATTTTCGAGTTATAAAAATTGTTTAGTAATCAGGAGGGATTGGCAGAGTATCTATGGGGAATTATCAAACAATAGCTTAAAATATTTCCATTTCACTCGTTCTCGAAAATGGAAAGATAAAATAACAAGAGTCTAAAACTGATGAAGTGCCATCAAGCAAAAATTGCATAACTGCGAGTGAATTAGAAAGAAGCGTGATTCTAGCGTGACAGAAAACTTAGGCACAGATTTTGGGCTTATTCATGTTTTCTAAAGAGTGGGCTTCCTCTAGCTGTGATGTTTCATGTTTAGTCTGTCCTTTCAAAGCATTGAAATATTTGCAAAGGTGATGTGCCCGCAGTTGCAGATTGTGCTAATCGCTATTGCGTTTGAATGCTGGAAATTTTTTTAAAAATGGATCATCACATTTATCAACCCAGAATTCTCTCTCGAGACACAGATAACCAGATAACCAACCACGGATAACAGATAACCTAGTTCAGATACTTTATGTGAAGACCCAGCTGTCTGGAGCAGCGGCCACCAACTGGTGGTCCGTGGACCACTGGTGGTCCACAAGAAAATTTTGGTGGTCCGCAGAAAAATTATTTGCATTTTTTTATATTGCACTAAATCAGGGGTCCTTAAACTAAGGCCCCTGGGCCAGATATGTGCAATGAACGTTTGTGTTGCTGCAGAGAGTCTCCCCCTTTGGGGTCTTTTTGTGCGGGTTGGAGGGGGGCAGAAATTCTGACTTGGGGTCTGCTTCAGCCTCCTGGTGCGGGGCTTTGGGCGAAGGCTGGAGGGAATTGCCGCTGGTGGCAAGGAGCCGGAGGGCCTTGTTCCAGTGGGACTGCATCATGGCCTGGAACTGGCTGACCATTTCAACCCACTGAGCCTCCAGGTGCCGGTACCTGGCCTTGCACTACTGCAGGTCTTCCCTCTGCTTGGAAAGCCTATGCTCCTAGTCCTCAGTGAGGTGCTTCTGCTGAGCCTCCTTCTTGGCCAGATCCAATTTGAACTGAGCCAGCTGTTTTGCCAACTTTTCTCGTGGGGGCTGCTTAGCTCCAACAACTGCTTCCTACTGGGGCCCAAAGGAGCCCGGGGAGGCAAGGAGGGGAGGGGCGAGTAGAGACTGGCAAGGCACCCTTCAATGTAAGTGACATCAAGTTGGCCATGCCCACCCAGTCACATGACCAAGCCACACCCACTCAGCTGGTCATTAGGCAGATCATATTAGTAGTCCGCAGGGTTTAAAATTATGAATTTAGTGGTCCCTGAGATCTGAAAGGTTGGTGACCCCTGCTCTGGAGAAGGGTCTAGTGCTGGGAAAGGTGGAAGGAAAAAGAAGAACAGGAAACCTTACACCACTTCAGACAAATGGTTATCTGAACAGATTAACAGAGTTGGAAAGGACCTTATAGGTCATCTAGTCCAACCCCCTGCCCAAGCAGACCGTACACCATTTTTGACTGATGGCAATCCAGTCTCTTCTTGAAAGTCTCAAGTGATGAAGGTCCCACAACGTCCGAAGGCAACTTCTGTTCCATTGGTTGATTGTTCTCACTGTCAGAAAGTTCCTCCTCATTTCCAGGTTGAATCTCTCCTTGGTCAGTTTCCATCCATTATTCCTTGTCTGGCCTTCAGGGGCTTTGGAAAATCTCTTCTTAAAAACTTCCAGTGTTGAAGCACCCACAACTTTTGGAGGCAAGTTGTTCCACTGATTAAGTGTTCTAATTGTCAGGAAATTTCTCCTTAGTTTTAAGTTGCTTCTCTCCTTGATTAGTTTCCACCCATTGCTTCTTGTCCTGCCCTCAGGTGCTTTGGAGAATAGCTTGACTCCCTCTTCTTTGTGGCAGCCCCTGAGATATTGGAACACTGCTATCATGTCATATCATGTCATGAACACAGCTAAAACATATGAAGAACGGTTACAGGAACTGGGCATGGCTGGTCTAGTGAAGAGAAGGACCAGGGGAGACATGATAGTAGTCTTCCAATCTTTGAGGGGCTCTCACAGAGAGGAGGGAGGGGGGTCAAGCTATTTTCTAAAGCACCTGAAGGCCAGACAAAGAATAATGGATGGAAACTGAACAAGGAGAGATTTAACCTGGAAATAAGGAGAAATTTTCTGACAGTGAGAACAATCAACCAATGGAACAGAAGTTGCCTTCGGAAGTTGTGGGAGCTTCATCATTTGAGGCTTTCAAGAAGAGATTGGACTGCCATTTGTCAGAGATGGTGTACGGTCTCCTGCTTGGGTAGGGGGTTGGACTAGATGACCTACAATGTCCCTTCCAAGTCTGTTAATCTGTAAATGTCATCCGTAGTCCTTATATACCCAATTTCAGGAACTGTTCCTTATGTATTTCAGTCTCCATAATCATCTCTGTTGCTCTTCTTTCTAGAGTCTCAACATCTTTTTTTCATTGTAGAGACCAAAACTGGATACAGTATTCCAAGTATGGTCTTTCTAAGGCTTGATGACCTTCTTAAGGTATTAAGAA